CATTAGGAGCACTAGGAGGAGACAGATGCAAAACATTGGTTAGTCAGAAGAAGTGATATGTGGGCTCTGAACTGCTGTAACGACAAACACCAAAAAATTTAAAGACAGAGAATTCTATATTGAGGATCCTATATATATATATATAATATACTAAACTGAGATTGGGAAGTACATGGATGACGGTGTCTAAGGTCCTCTTGCTAGCTTTTTCGACTGCATCTCACTGTCTTCATCAGCAAGTCGAGTTTGCTCAGTGTCAGTCTGAACAACTTAAATATCTAATTAATGGTTTAGGGACAGATACAGTGAACATAGACGTTTAAAGCAGATGTTGATATGCAACACCCGTCCGTGGCAGGGAAGAAAATAAGAGGTTAAGACAGTAAGGTATAAAAAGAGTAAACAAGATACAAAAGATACATAAAGCGCAGAATTAAATACATTACATTTAAAACTATACAAGTACAGGTTTGTTGGTAAATTAACCAAGATTTGATATCTCTCTTAAATGTGGTGAAGTTAACAGCAAATGTCAAGTGATCAGTTAGTGAATTCCAGGACTGAGCAAAATATGTTTTACAGAATGGAACTTTGCAATTGCCATTTGAAGTGGCTGTGGTGGATCTGCTGCAGTTCTGCAGTTTCATTATGTATTTGAAAAGAGGCTGAGGGGCCATTTAAGCACTTAACGACAAGTGTTGATAATGAAAATTAATTAATTAATTAATATTGTTGTTTAAAGACATTAATCAGTGTCTAATATTATTAATAATATTGTGCTGCTTTCCCCAGGGTCTGGGCTTTAGTATAGTGGGAGGGAAGGATAGCATGTATGGACCAATGGGGATCTACGTCAAGACCATTTTCCCTGGAGGGGCAGCAGCTGCTGATGGACGGCTGCAGGAAGGTAAGAGATAACATGCTGTATATAAGTCTGTCATTCTGGAGAAACATAACTGTTAAGTCTCAATCCCAGGTTGTCAAATACCGACGCTTTGGCTTATGGTAAATGGGAAACAAACAGTGTGGCTGGTATTTGACGACTTGGGAATGAGTCTCAACAATCATTTTCCTCCTGAATGACCCCACCTTAAGTGTTTGAGTAATGTAATTAATAACAGTCTGTTTTCCATAAATGTCACTCTAATGTTCTCTTTTACTAATTACTGTAAGACACCTACTTCCAATTGATAAGGTCTTTTTATTTTGCATCTCTCTGATCTTTTCTGAAAACTGACGGATTTTATTTTTTTTATAGGAAAACTGTATAGTTAAGCCGTGTCTCAGTTGCATTCAATGTACTATCTGTAACTATCTATTTCAACATACATAAACCATTGAATAGTTCATAACTTCATCATCACGTGGTTAACAGTTTGGTTACATTATGTCACCAATACTACTTGGTTAGGTTTAGGAAAAGATCATGTTTGGGTTACAATTAGAACATTAGTTACATCACTTAAATTAACTCAAGTTACATAACTAAATAAAGCAGTTACATCAAGGAAGCAGAAGTAAAAAGGAACGCTGTGTAGGATTTAGTGGCATCTAGCAATGAAGTTTGAGAACGCAACCAAATACAGCTCACCCTTAGAAATGTGTAGGAGAAACTATGTCACCCGCAAAACTCAGAAAAACATGGGTCTGTTGAGCTATCCATCCACCATGACCTCCTGCCTAGGTGCCACTAAAGGTTCACCACTTATCAGTAAAAGGAAATATGGGTCGTAATAAGCTGTTTTCACAAATGACCTATACGTACAGCTGTTCTTCTGGAGAGGAGGGGCAGCCATATTGAGACTCACTCACTCATAAGTATATTTCAAGTCATGCATACTAAAATCATCTAATATTTGAATGCAGTGTACATAATTGTCCCTCGATAGGAATTGACAGTTTCATGTCAGGGCTAAGAACAGTTAAACTTTGATTTAAAGGACCAGTGTGTAGGATTTAGTGGCATTTAGTGGTTGCAGACTGCAACCACGTAGGAGAAACTATGGGGAAAAAATGTGAAAAGTGACCTATTTAAAGCCAGTGTTAGGTTTGTCCATTCTGGGCTACTGTAGAAACATGGCAATTCAACATGGTGGCCTCAGTGGAAGAGCAGCCGCACCCTCTGTAGATAAAAATGGCTCATTCTAAGGAAACTAAAACACATGTGTAAGCAATTCTAGCAATTGCCATTTCAGTTGAAGTGAAGAAGATGAAAGCAAAACATTAGAAAGGATGTGTTCATGAAGTCATGAAGAGTTTAAATGTGTTAAAAAGCTCAGTCTTATCTATGTCAGATATATAGGTGTCACAGAGCAGATGTCCAGCCTTCAGAACTCGTGTTTGTGTGTTTGCGTGTTTGCATAGGTGATGAGATCCTGGAGCTGAATGGAGAGTCTCTACATGGTCTGACTCATGATGAGGCCCTGCACAAGTTCAAAGTAAGGCAACTACATTCTCATCCTAACAGCATTCCTCTCAGTTCAGGGTAGTGACACAACCGTGACCTGCTGAGTCAGATGTATCTATTTAAAAATTTGAAAAAAGAGCTTGACTCCACTGACTGACTTACTGGAAGAGTCTTCCACTTCTTCCATGAGAAAATGTTGTTTGTTTATGTGTCTGGCAAGTCGCAAAATCAGTAGATCAGTAAATCCACTAATCAGAAGATTGTTGGTCCAATCCCTTCAGTCCGTGGACAACCCCAAACTGGTCCCGAAGGCTGTGCCATAAGTGTGTCAGTGCGAATGAGCATTAGTTTCTGTTCCTGATGAGCAGTTGACACCTTGCAAAAATGGGTTGGTGAATGTTGACATGTAGTGTAAAGCACTTTGAGGGATCAGAAGACTAGAAAGGCACTATGTAAGTGCAGTCCTTTTACCAATTACAATATCCACTTGCAGTGACTATAGCCTTATTAAACATTTCTGTAGTTATGTTTGCACTCAAAGCACGTTGTTTAGGTTAGGGAAAGATTGTGGTCTGGTTTTAATGCAAAAATAGTCAACAATGACTTGAGACACAAGGTCTTTAATAGGGATATCACAAGAACTGATACAGTATCGTTGGAATGCAATTCTTTTCTGTACACCTACAAGTATTCTAGTCGGCTGTTAAATGCCACAGGAAGAAGAACATGAAAACGCAGAGAAGTGCAGCTTGTTCAGGTAAAGCTTTTGTGCACAGCGCAGTCATCGTCAACTCTCTCTGTGCAGTCTCTCAGCACTCTGCTGTGCTGTGTGTGTGCAGGAGGTATTCACCTGTACCATTAAGAAAAATGCAAGTATTGATCAGGACTCAGTATTAGAAGATATTAAATGGGTATCAGGGGCAAAATCTGGACATTTTTACCATGGTATCAAGAATCATGAGATTCGAGAGTACTGTAGGAGAAACCAGATTGGTATCGACTTACTTTAGCCAGCCAACATTTCTACATGCATTTAGCACTGATTTGAAATATGAAATGTCTTTGTGCAGCTAATCAAAAAGGGCCTGCTGACCCTGGTGGTGAGGACCAGCCTGCGTGTGGGGGCTCTGTGCGGTCAGGCTCAGATAGCTCAACTGTGCAGGTCGCGCTCTCTCAGCTCAACTACAGGCATGGCCAGGATCAGTGCTGACATGGGAGACTACAACTACCTGAACAACAACTGCAGTAACACACTGAGCATCCCGGGTCAGCCTGCTAAACCCAGAGACCGCATCATGATGGAGATTATCCTGCAGAAAGGTTAGCCTTCGAGGACAGTTGAAATATTTTTGGTATTTAAAATACCAAAAGTTTCTCTGTGTGGAAAAGTTGATTGCAATTATAAAATAGAATATTCAGTAACAAGAAAACTCAAAAGCTAAAAGCTTGATCCTACATTTCCCATAATGCAAAAATCATGGCATCTTAATGTTATACGTTCCACACTAGTTTGCAATGCGGGTTTTAAATTATAAATGCATAGTTTCCGAGCCAAGACAAGTCCCCCCGACTAGTAAACTGACATGTATGTGTAAAACTGATTGATGCTTTGGTAATTTGTGATGGTTATTCGGTATTATCTTTTATGTTTTAAAGACTATTGATTGATAAATCAATACTTAAAGCATTTGTTAGCTGCTGATCTGAAAGATAATTTGCTTTGGCTTTACTGTGTAGGGTTGGGGTGTAAAGGCTAAATATCTTTTAAACCTTTAATGATATATCACTATAAATCATATAATAAAAGTACCACAATAAAGGTTTATGGATGTGTAATTTCCCAGAGGCTGGTGTTGGTCTGGGTATCGGACTGTGCTGTGTTCCATCTGGTGACGGATGCCCCGGGATCTACATCCACACCCTTTCTCCTGGATCCGTAGCACACATGGATGGTAGACTCCGGTAAGGAGAAACTACTCCTTTTTTTGTTTTTGTTTTTAATTCAAATTAGTTTAAATTAGTTTCCAGAGTGAGTTTGCTCATTTTAGTTGAATTTTTATTGTTTAAAATATTTGGTTTCAGTTTAGTTTTTACTAGTTTCAGTGTTTTAATTTAACACAAACACACTGACTCAGTCATGTAGACATCCCAGTGTCAGTAAACATAAGCAGAAATTATTTTTGTTGTTGTGTTTGAAAAGACCAGAACTAGAGACATTTCCTATATATCTTTATTTTAGTTTTAGAATTTTTTTTCTAAATTCTAGTTTTTACTGTAATTTCATTTGAATAAAAATGTTTTTTACTCTATTTTTTACTCTAAAGTTCAGTTTCAGTTAACTATAATAACCTTATTAGAGAGTTGGAAAGAGTACTAAAATACCTACTGTAATAAAATGTAACTACAGTAAAAAATTAAACAAAGTTTACGTGAAGGAGTACTATTTGTGCAGCTATCCTAATTAGGATATTATTAAAAATATAAGGTAGACTTGGAGTTAGGTACACCATGTAATCCTTGTAATATTATGTGAGGTTAAAACAGGTTATATGTGACAATTTTATGTTTAGTAATTTAAATTATTCTCATACCCAGCCTACTTCTCCTTGTGTGTTCAGAGACTGAACTAAACTAAAGACTAATGTCCAAACTAAAGCTGCAAAAGGTAATTTTAATTTAAAAATAATTCATCATATTTGTTAAAACTTTCACTGTGTCCTGAAAGTAGTACATGAGACGGATAATTTGTGAAAAATTAGGCTCCTCTTGCTCATTCTAGTGCTCCTAATAGCATTTGAAAGAATCTACCAGGCCTGAACGAAAACAACCAATCAGAGCTGAGGAAGGTATAAAGACACTTTGGGTTGGAAGCTTGAAGATAATCTCATTCCCAGGGTCCTGTCTGTATTTGACGACCTAGGAATGAAACTCCACAATCAACTATCTTTCTTGGCTCTGATTGTTTTTGCTTAGCTGTGGTGGATTCATGCAAATACCATTAGGAGCACTAGAAGGAGCCAGATGAACCTGATTTGTCTTTACTACTGTAAGGATATAATGAGTTTCAGCAAATATGACAAACAATATATTTATATATATCTAATATATCTAATATATCTACTGCAGCTTTAAGGACATAGTCAACCTTTTTGATTTTGTATGACTTCCGTGAATTATACTGTGGATTTAATACAATTAATATATTTCAGAAAGAAGAATTTCTGTATATGGTATGTACACAGCTGGCCCAGTTCCAATAGTGTACATTTTGATTTATACAGTGTTTGTGCCTGACTGTAAAATACAGTCTTTTATTAGAACAGATCCATGGTCCTTTCGTTAACTCTTGTACACACTCTTTCCAACACCTTTTCCTGAACTTTCCCTCTGTACTTTAGGTGTGGGGATGAGATCATGGAGATCAACGACACTGTGGTTTACAACATGGCGCTGAATGACGTCTACACAGTCTTGAGCCAGTGCACTCCGGGTCCAGTCCACATCATCATCAGTCGACACCCTGACCCCAAAGTATGCAACGCCTCCACCTCGTTTACTATAACCAGCACAGATTTATGGGCTTACAGGGCAAAGCCTCTGCTGGCTCAGTGGCAATGTTGTCTCATGGGTTCAACTGTGGGCCTCTGTGCTGTTGGCATGGATCCATCTGGCTTTCAGCTTGGTGTTCTGGCTTTTTTAGTCAGTCCAAACTCCAACAGGTTGGGCTGGAGACTCTTACTTGCCTGTGTACAACTGTGTGATTTTGTTTTTATTACCTATTGGGGGCACTGACCTTGTCAGGACCAGTAGTCCTTATGGGAACGAAAAATCTGTACTAATGTGGCAAAATGGCATTTCTGAGGTCCTGGTTAGGGTTTGGGTTAGGAGTAAGTTGTTAATTGAGGTTAGGCATGAATTGTTTATGGTTAAGGTTAGGGTAAAGGGATAGGTTAGGCTGTCCACAATGAATGAAGTCAATGGAATGTCCTAATAAGGATAGCTGCACAAACGTATGCGTTACCTATTTGACACTGGTGACCTGTTTTCCTCCAAATGTTTCTGGGCCAGTACATGCTGAGAAAGGTTTTCAGGTTCTCAGCTTCACCCCCTTGTGTATAAGGGAACGATGAATGAATCATTAGGGCCTCAACAACAGGCAGTAATTGGCTGAAATGCCCTTTAGAAAGTTATGCAACACTAATTTAATCCAGTGGAGCTGTTCAGTGGCCATCAATGGAGTTTATGGTTGTAGCGCAAAACGTTTAGGCTAAATAAATGTTGAACAAGACTAAGTTTATAGCCTGCTAGTGTCCCTTTGAGGCTGTATTTAGGCATAGGACTGCTTCAAGCTACATGCAAAAACATCAGCTAGCATAGCTAGCTTTCAATGACCATGCTAACATACTGTTGTTAGTGTAATTTTTGCCATGTTCAGTTCTTAGATAAGCAAGTTAGCATGCTAACATTTGCTAACTAGCACTAAACACTAATTCTAAGTACAGCTGAGGCTGATGGGAATGTCGTTAGATCTGCAGGTATTTGGTCATAAATTAAATCTTTGACCTGATGGTGGCATAAGATGAAAAGTCAGGGGAACACCAAAGTCAGTAGTATTTATTGTTGAATGTTAATAAAGCATTTGATATTTCAGATTATTGTTGTCCAGAAAAAGAACAAATCCAAATCCCCTTAAGCAATTCTATCATTAGAACCTTTTGGCAACCAAAAATTCAGAAGAATCTCTTCAGAAGTTCTGTGCTACCTTTGACAATGCTTCTGTTTTGTAGTTTCTTAAACTGCCTCTCAAGCCCTGTGTTGTTGGCCTTTCACCGCAAACCACATGGTCAGATTATAGGCCCTAATTTATTCTGTTCATATGCTTCTACTCAAGTATAGGTTATTTCTTTAAACAACATTGTGGTTTCTGTCTATCACTTGTTAGCTGACATGTTCCTTTCTTCCTTTTCAAAGCATATCTGTCCTTTCAAACGATAAGGTTGGCATCATTCTATATTTTTCCTCTTGTCAACAAATCCAGTAAAAAAGATGAACAATCCTCAAACATACATACTGATAGAAACAATATTGCTGTCATCTTCTATTATATGCTATATTGGGTAATCAGGGCTAAAACCATGTAGCATGAACTCGGCATTGGTAGTAGCTTTTTACGTCTTGGGTTTTAAGATAAAATAAAATTATATGGACTGTTTGTATACTCTGGTATGTTGTCCTTTCTTGACCTTTATGTGTACTTGAAAATATCTAAGTTTCCACTGACATTCCCATCTTCTGTGTCACAGGTATCAGAGCAGCAGCTGAATGATGCTATCGCTCAGGCAGTGGAGAACAGCAAACTGAGGAAGGATAAGAGCCAGTGGAGTATTGATGGTGAAATATTTGTTCATAATTAATTTTCCACAGTCACATATTCTGGTTCAGGGTCATGGTTGGCCCAGTACACACTTGAAGTTGCACACTTCTTATCATTCTTCATGCAGATCATGCTTAACTGGAATTTAAAAGGGTTCTTAATAAACCAATACATACAGAATATTATGCAGTTTTTTAATTTAAAAATTCATCACATTTGCAAATATTTTGAGATTAACAAAAAAATTATTGAGTTGAATAAGTAAGAATGCCATTAAATGCTTTATTGCACACTATTGTGTATAGGCTTGTTGTGATGACATGTACAGTTGAGATACATACCCAATGGAGAAGTAGTTTAAAGCCTCTGTTCATTCCGATTTCTAATTCAGCCAATTAAATTGAGGCCAGTGAGTTTTTATGTGATTATGAAGTCATCTCAAATCCACACTAATCAGCATCACTATGCGGAGCAATCACACATTTTCTCCATGAAATGCTACTTTTGATGATAATTTCCTTATATTTTAATTCTTTTATAACTTAAAATAATTATTTCTGTCCCAGGCTTGCGTAGACTGGAGTCTTGCGTTCACAGCCGGCAGAGGTGTGAGCGTTGTCTGGAGAGGAATTTTAGTCAGCTGACGGTGCGACGGGTGCAGAAGACCATGACCCGCTCCTGCAGCGACAACACCAACAGTCACCACCACAACCGCTGCCTCACCATCCACAACCTCCACCACGCACACCACAACCCATCAGCCCGTGTCCACAGCCTAGACACACCCAAGGTAACCAAACACACCTCAGGTTGTACGGAGAGGGGGTAAATACAGAAAGTTAGAACTAACTGCTGCCAACCTTTTTATAATTTTCTATGTATTGATTTTTTTTTTCTATAATGTGTATGAATGTTGATGTATGATTTTCTTAACTGAAAATGTAATGTCGTCTTTTCATGTAAGTAACTAAGTAAGTAAAACTTTATTTATATAGCATCTTTTTGACACAGAGATCGAAGTGCTGTTCCAAACCCCAACAAATAAATAACATAAAAAACACAAACATAGAGAGCCCATGTAAAAAACAAACGGAAGGAAGATAAAAAGAGGGAGGATAAATTAAAAGAAGAGCGACGACAGACGAGAAAAATAAACAAGGAGAATCTATAAAAAAAGGGCTTGCCTGTAGAGGAGGATTCTTGAGGCACCCGCTTAAAACTGTCCACAGAAAAGGTCAATAGAAGTGCGCTTATACTGTAATCAAGTAAGATGTTATGAGTTGATCTGAATTTTACAGGAAGCGCAAATTGAGGGATGCAAGAACAGGAGTAAATGTGGGAGCCCGACGGCTGGTTTCTGTTAAAAGTCTGGGGCTGCATTTTGGACCTAACTGTAATCGGTTTAACGAAAGCTGACTGAGGCAACGTGTAGAGGGAGTTAGCAGTAATCCTAGACAGGAGAAAAATGTGTGGATGAATGTGTGAATTAATTGTTCGCAGATCACTTGGAGGACCAGGAATCTTTTGATTTTTGGCTAAGGCATGTCGAAGCGCAGGAAACAGGACTGTAAACCAAGGTTTGAATATGAACGGTCAAGATGTCAGTATCTGTTACATGAAGGTCAAATGTCATATGCTGGTCGAAGATGATACCCAGATTCTTAGCAGTGGGTTTGATATTAGTGCGTAGTGGTCCAATAAACTGATCAACTGCAGTGACAAATTTATCAGGGCCAAATAAAATTTATTTCAGTTTTAAATGTGAATGTAATTTTATGTGTCTCATCTTATCTTGTCCCTGTCCCGTTTTGTAGTCCATGAAGGAGACATGGTCTGACAACAGACTGTCAGTGCCCGTGTATCCTGATGAAGACTATAACGTCCCGTACAACTCTCCTGCTGCCAACCTGTCCAGTCAGCAAGGCCTGGATCTAACCTTCAGGGCCAACAAGGTACCACATGCCTTCCTTCATCTGTAGACCTGGTGGTGTTAGTCATAGTCATCATTAAGCAGTGGTTGAAAAAAGTCATTTCTAAATAAAAACTAATTAAGGGGTAAGTCAGGGAACTACAATAGCCTTCTGGGACCCATAATTTCTTACATTAAGTAAACTTCCACCCATTCTCTACATCTCTACATTTTCCATTATCAATTAGGCAGGAGACAGGGTACAGTAGGGACAATTTGCCAATCAATTACAGGCCTCCTGCAGGAATTAAATATTGGTTCTTGGGTGGATAGGGATGACTTTAAGACAACTTAAAAGGGGGGACACAGCTTGTGAATGATATATGGGTGTGGACTGGGTCCTGGAGAGGTGCCAGTTCCACTTCCTGTGCACTGCTCCTAACTGCACCACATCACTAACTCTCCACATTTGCAAGTCTATAAAACATGATTTCAGGCCTGTGTAAATAATGAGTGGAATAAGCTTATGTATTATGTATGTAAGGGCTACTGAAGTGGAGATTTCTGGCTCAATGTGTATGTATTGTAAAAGTTTGCAAAACTGTGAATAGGAAAAACTAGTTAACTAGTTAATAACCAGTAGATATCACCATGAAAGGTCCAATTTGACTTTTTTTGACTTTTTTTTTTTTTTAAATGTTATGTTTTAAAATGCAAATGAGGCTATATCTAATGCTAACTTTAGGAGAAATCTACAGATGCAAAAAGAAGAAGTGCAGTAAAAATAACACCTAAATGTGGATTTTGGGCATTTTCTTTCATCTAGTCTGAAAGACCAAAATCTCAAAATTTACCAGTGCATGAAAAAACAATGTTTTTGACTGTAGTGTCTCACTTTAAATGGTGTATTGAAACAGTAGAATTGTTTAATACTAAATGTATAAAAATAAGGTTAGTACTAGTCAACCCAAGAGTTACATTAATATTATTGTAGTGTAAATCACCACCCACTGCTCCTGTCTCTGTCTAAAGAGTATCCTCTATTCAGTCACAACAGCTGACTTCAATGCAAACTGCATTTGGATGAAGAATCTAGAGTCAGAGGATTGTTGTGTGTTTGACTGTACAATTATTTCAGTGATAGCTGATTGTCCACTGTGTACAGCAGCAGCTAAATAAAGTACAGTGCTCTACTATATTCATATGACATTTCACATGGTTCATACAAAGTCAACAACCAACAATAAACCATTCACTCTATGACCCTGAAGGTTCCACCAGTCCCATGGCTAACTGGACATGTGCCAGTAGACATGAATATATTGCTGTGAGCTTTACTAGGCCTGCATTTGGCAGGAAACAATCACACCGTGTTCAGTCGCTTAAAACATTATTTTGTCTCTTTTATCACTCGATCAAACAGGGAAGTAAGCTATAGACACTGTCGTCTTACTTCACTAATACCTTTAATACAGCTGTGTGTTGTAGTCCAGCTGCAGGGTGCGCGCTGCTCCACGTCGGTACTGCTGGCCTCAGGATGTGACCAGTGAGGAGGGTTATAATGGAGACTCCAGCGGCTCCAGTAGAGGATCCCCAGTTAGAGATGAAGGACTGGAGCACTCGTCACACAGCAGCTGCCAGGTACAGCACTCTGTTGAACAGCAGAGGGAGTGGTCTCAGTTAAACAGGCTGTAAAACCTGTAAAACAGTTCACGTCTCACTCAAAGCAACCACAGCCTTAATTATTAAATTGAATTGTTAACGGTTGAGTGAAATAGTGTAAAACTATTGTCAAAAAATTGTTCTGCGCATTACCTTTGTGCTCTGTACAGGTTTGTACAGAATGAAATACAAAGAAAAGGGTGACCTGTTAATAAAAACAATGATCCAGAGCACAATGAGTGGTAAACGAAAACCTCCACAGGGCACCTTTTAAATCGTCCTTCATGTTTGATGGGAACACAGTTGTATTCACTTTTACCAACTTTTTCTTACTGCAGATATACAGTATGACAGGTGCATGAATCTAACTTGTTTCGAAAGAATCAATAGGATCAAAACTAATAGTGATAGTTGTCTGTTTCCATAGTAACAGTGCAAAAATAATCAATGCTATTTATGCAGCATGGCATTTCATGCAAATTGAAGCCCACACATACCTCCCTGACACCATGGCAACATTATACTTCCTGTTTACCAAAACAATGATATGAGAAAAGTGACGGCAGCCTGCAAATTAAGAACAAGGAATGATAAAATCCATAAATATTAGCCTTTGCAACAGTTGTTTAGCCCTTAGAGACATGTACTGGCCTAAGACTGATCTTAGAACCCAGCCTGGACCAGTGTCTAAAATCTGACCTGACCAAACCAGACTGGTAGTGATACAGATTTGAGACCCAAATCCAACCTGAATCTAATAATTTAATAATTTACTGACCATTAGCTCACCAGGCTAAAACAAAACATTGGCTACTCTTCCCGCCGGGCCATTACAGTTAGGGACAAAGAAAAAAAAAATACATTTCTTAAAAATATCCAAAACTGAGCCCAAGATTTTACACAGGAAAATGGCCCTAACCCGACTCAGAACTCGATAATTCGTCAGGATCTGTCAGGTTTGTGTGCTAGCACTTTTTTGCCATTTGATGTGTCCAAAAAATATAAAGAAAATAAACATCATAATCATAATTCCATCACTTCTTTTTAAACTTAAATTGGTCATTTATGTAGTTTTTTCTTGTTCACTGACCTTCCACGGTTTGATAGTAGTAGCTAATTTGGTTTATCAAACAGTGTCTAAGTTCTGTGCCCATATAAGGATGTTGGAAGTATGTCTAAGATCACAGTCTCTTTCACTTCCACTTGAGTTCTTTCTCTGAAACATTCGATGGGAAGGCGGGGGCACTGCTACCTGCTCACTGCACTGTCAATGTATTGTTCCTGCTTCTACTAATCATGCTTCTTCTGAACACACTCCTCTCCTTCCACTGCCTGCAGTTCTTCAGCAGTATATACAAGGCCTTGCGAAACACCCTGAGGTTACTCTTAAGGAATGTATGTGAAGTGATGTGGCTTTCAGTGTTTTGCTGGTGAAAGCATGCTGAACACGTTTTGCTTTTTATAAATAAAAGCCTTGTCATAGATTTCTCCTTTCCTGTACAACAACCAAATGCTATATGCTAGGCTAGGCTTTAGTCTAAAAGACATATATGTCGCTTATATCTTTTAACCTCATCATAGATTAGCCTAGCACATAGCATATCTAAGTACAGGAAAGGAGA